TTGTGCAACCACATTTTTTTCCTAGAAAATATTGCTTTAGCAAATGAGAGAGTTACACACCCAAATTTTTTTTTATAAGATTGTAGTTTTGAAAATCAGTTTAAAGCATGATTGATAATGTTTAAAATTTTAGAAAAAAATTAAACTTGTAACTCCTTTTTATAGTCCAACCAATCACGTCCTATGTTTTTACCAATTTGTAAAACTTGGAAAGAAAATAATTACATACATGTGAATAAGACGGCAGGCTGCGATACAAGTTAAAAACAAAAAAAAAAGACAGAAGTAAAAGTATTAGCCACCAAATGTAATGGCACGTTGTGCACGTGCAAAAAAAATGATGTGAACACGTTTTTTGCGCTGACCAAACGTTTTTTGTCGCTGTCTCGCCACGTCATTACTTTTCTTTCTTTCACTTTATCTTCTCTTAATTTGTTTCCCCCACTAAACAATAAGATTCTATGGATTAGTACTAATCCATAATCTACCCTGATATTTAATTAATAACGATTACCAACTCTTCATCCTTCTGTTTATTTTTAAAAAGTTTTACTTTCATTGCTTATGAGATAATTTTTATTTTTTTATTATGAGATAATTTTTCAACTTTAACTTTACTACAAAAATATCTCAACAACTGTAACCGTCCATTTGGAGTATAATGACAGGCAATGAATATGTGTCGGTTATGTATAATTAGAACAGTACTATATGAAATTGGATAATATGGATAGTGGACAAAATATGGATAATTCGTGTATTTAAAATAACTTTTAAATGCTCACTAGATCGGTTAAAATCATAAAAGTCTAATTCGAATTCTAGTACGTTAGATGACTTTGGATTTGAAATTATAATTGCCGAGAAAAAAAAGAAGAAGATGACTTTGGATTTAAAATCAGCTGATACTTATTGTTTCAAACTTGTAATTTTTATTATCTTTATTTGTTTAGAACTTTTTTTAATTATCTTTGTTCGGTTTTTTTTTTGTTGTAGTACATGTAGGATAAGAATATCCGTCACATCCCTATCAACAACGGCTTATTATTGTTAGGAATTACAAATCTAAA